AGAGAGAGAGAGAGAGAGAGAGAGAGAGAGAGAGAGAGAGAGAGAGAGAGAGAGAGAGAGAGAGAGAGAGAGAGAGAGAGAGAGAGCGCCCCCCCCCCCCCCCCCCACCCCGTGTGAGGAGGTCTTTGTTTAGTTTTCTTTCTTCTTGAATAAGTAGAATATGCATTTTTAAAATTTTTTAATTTTTTTGTTTTGTTTTTCTCACACACTGCAGCGACCCGGTGTTCGGCGCAGTCTTGTTTTACAAGCAGGGAAACGTACCCGTGGTTTAAGGCACACAAATCACTTCACTATAGAATCATTATGATTTTGCAGAGGGCGGAAGAAGGGACACAATCGCAACACTGCTATAGTGATTTTCGGATGAAAAAAAAGGGGCTACTTCGGCGCAGTCACGAAAATAGTTTGAAAATGCACTTCAGGCAATCCCGCGAACACAACACACCCCCACGTGACCCCACATGTCCCGAATTGTTGGTTATGTACATTCACCATTACCGGCCCCTTTTGCCTCGAGTGCATTTTGAAATTCAAACCCCGACTGCGCCGAGTTTTCTCAAAAAAAAAAAGGAATGATGAAAGTCAGTCCAGTTGATGTAGCTCAGTGGTTAGAGCACCGGTTGGAAATGTGCATTGTGGTTTAAACCACCAGTACCTGGCCCAACCAAAAAAAAAAGTCGCGGCCGTTAAAGCGCCGCAACTTCCGGGGTTCAGGAAAGGCTCGGCACTAAAATTGGTGAAGAAGCTGCTGGGCCCAAGGAAGAGAAATCGGTGTACTCTTGTTTTTGCCGTGCATGTTTCCACAAGCGCATGTTTCCACATGCAGGGACGCTCCAGCTGCAACTATAATACAGTGCTCCCGTGACTTCTGGATTCGAATCTATGGTCCCCTAGTCATGGAACTATACATGCCCTGGCCTTTTCAACAAAAAGAACAAAAAGAAAAAATATGGGTTGGATTGATCTGCCTCCCCGTGAGAAAGGAGAGCATTGAAGTCCTGCCAGCGAAGGAAAGCCAGACACTCCACTTGCACCAAACACATATATGCCAATGTATCTGTCCATGTTCTAGTGCACGATCCACTATCATTTTGCACATTTCGAGAGTGGTGAATGAACGCCGGTATGTCCTTCCTTTTCTTTTTTTTCCTTACGAACTGTCTTCGGCTGACGGGAACTCCCCATGAGAGGCAGGAAGTAGGTAACTGAAAACTGTCATTTCACAGATGTGCTTTCTTTTTTTTTTTTTTTCTACCAGTGCCACTCCAGAGTACACCCAAATTCGTTCCGGCCCCCTCCAGGTTGGGCAGCCCTTGGCGCGCAGGCTGAAATGAGGATTGGGCCTCAACAACCGGTAGGTACTGGTGGTTTAAGGTTGCGGGTTCAAAACTCGATTGCAGCCTTGCGCATGGACACCGACAGGTCCTTAGATTGACGCACAGCTGGACACACACTCCCTAGGGCTGACGCATGGTACTATTACAGACACTGCCTGCGCACCACCCAAGGGTTGTTCATGATGTTGTATGTTGGTTCTGGGTTCCGCAGGGGTTGCTTGGGGGGTGTTGGTCTTGGGTGTTCTGGTGATCTCCCCAGTCTGGCATATCACACGTACGTGCCATTTCCAATAGTCATTCATACGGTAGAGTCATTCGATTACATGTTACAAGGTCACGGGTTCGAGCTTGGTTCGGACCTTGGGGGGGGTCCTTGTCCAGTTTGCCCCGTTCTCTCTTCGATATATACACACATGATGCTGTCTGT